TACTGTTTCATTGTCAAGACTTTGGTGCAGCTGCAATCTGCACAGAAGGCATTTTCACTGTCCTACTCACCTTGCCCAGGCACCAATACAGTCCTTTACTCCAGATTGGTACCGACCACCAGGGAGGACCATTGAGTCCTTTTAGAATATCTCTTTCTATGATATATTCTGGAACAGGAACGGTCATGACCTGACACGGTCATTGTGGGAGGTTTCCAATTTTCCTTTCTTTCTGGGTTTGCACGGTTTCCATTTGTTTTCCTCCCAAGCCTGTAATAACCACATCTTGTCCTTTAAATTTCTTAAGATGTCCATAAATTAAAGAGGCCTGCGCTCCGGTATCAGCTAAGCCTGTTACTGTTTGTGAGACCGTTTTTTTCCAAAATGCAGCTCCAGGTGGGGTCTCCGGTCCTCCCGTGCCCCCTGTGCCAGAGCTTGGCCATCATTTCCACCGGAGCTGTGGTGCTGCATTACTGCATTAAGCTCTTTCCCAGGATACGGGTCAGAATACAGCCGCCAATCCTCCTCCTCCCCCGGAAGAGCCTATCACTCCGCAGGGATCCCTCCGTGGGCAAACGTGGAGTCCCATTGCGTTTCCAGAGGAGGTGCCAAAGGCTGAACTGTTTCTGAGTTCTTTGCCTTATAACTCTGCACTTTTCTGCGGGGTTTATGTGACCCTCTCTGCTTGTATAAACCCCCTAGTTCATGGGTTTCAGTGCCATCAATTTTGCTGCAGGGTACTCCATGCTTTAACAAAGCTGCAAACATCTCCCCTTGAGAGATCCTGTCTTTGCTAGTCTTATGGGGTTTGGTTTCTTGATCTTCATTCTCCCAGGGGCCTCATTGACATCGAGTATTGTGATTTCTTTCACTTTCCCAGGGCACCTATTCTCCAAGATCCCCCAGCTGCTGTATTTTATCAATTACTTCTCTGACGGAGTTCCCTGTTCTTCTCCTGACCACTTGCCTGCTAAAGAAATATTCATCGTTAGCAGGCACACTAACAGCCAAATTCCTCCCTCTGCTCTTAAAGCATATGCAAACGATCCAAGGTGCCGCACCACCGGAGGGAGGAATGTGTCAATACACTCACTGCACAGGACATGAAGCAGGGAGCAGGCTGGCCAAGGATCCAAGCTGTGAGAGCTGGAATTAGCCAGGCCATGAGTCCAGTTATGCAGCAGAGCCGGTGACTTATTGCCATCACGGGGAGTTGGGTTCAATACTGATTTTACATATCTTTGTACATATTCCATTTTATTATTGTTATTACTATTATTCTTAGTGGTAGTATTAAAGCTGTTTTCTAATCAATAAATCTCTCTCCCTTATTCCCTTTCTCTTTCCC